CTTATAGTATTTACTAAAAGAATTCATAAAAATAATAATAGAAAGTAGAATGATATGTGAGAAATAATTCAAAAACCAAAAATAGTTGGCTTTGCCGCTGTCAAACAATTGTTTACACATTTGGCAAAAGTAATAATTAAATTAATTTAAGGCACTGAAATTACATATTTTTCTTATATTTAATATTTTGTATGGCCACCATTGGTATTAATGACTTCGTTTAGGCGCTTTTTCATTGAATGAATAAGCTTTTTAAAATCATAATGGCTCGGCAACTGCTGCCACTCTTCTAGTATAGCAGTTTTAAGTGCAGTTCGGTTCTTTGGATGCCTTTTAGCCACTCTTTTCTTTAACAAAGCCCAGACATTTTCGATGGGATTAAGATCAGGACTTTGTGCAGGTGTATCGAAGACTTTACCGCAGTTATAAAGTAGCCACAAGCGTATCATATGCGCCTTATGCTTTGGGTCGTTATCCTGATAAAATTTAAAATTCGGCATATTATTGTTTATAAACCCAAATTTATTCGCGCTGCTTGTCAACTGGTTCTTCAAAATGCTTAAATATTGTTTTGCGTCCATCGTGTTTTCAATAAAAGCCAAATCTCCGACTCCTTGGCTTGAGATGCACCCCCAAATCATTATGGACAGTTTTCCAAATTTGACTGTCGGAATGATGTTTCGGTTTTCTAAAGATGTTAAGGGCTTACGCCACACCCTTGTTGGCCCATCATTATAATATAGCATCATTTTCGTCTCATCGCAGAAGATGACGTCATCCCAATATTCGGCAGGTTGGTTGTGGTACATTGTGGCAAAGGACAAGCGTTTTCCAACATTTACATCAGAGAGCATTGGTTTCTTGCGAGCAGCTCTTGATTTGTACTCGTGTCGTAGTATGACCTGACGTACTGTTTCGTGGGATACCCCTAGATCCAACTCTTCCTTAAGATCTCTTGCAAGAGTTCTCGTCGAAATCATCGGATTTTGGTCCAGTTTTTTTACCAATGCGCGCTCCGCTCGTTTATTTATTTTTTGCTTCCGACCGGCTCCTTTCTTTAGCTCCAATCTTCCCTCGTTTTCAGCGCGATTTATAATATTATAAATGGTCTTGCGGGTTACAGAAAACATTTCTGATAATTCCAGCGCACTTTTACCCAATTGGTGATTAAAATACACTAACTGGACCACCTCAAAAGATAATCTCTTGCCTGGCATTTTTAAGAGTGTCTAAATAATTTCTGACGCGCAACAAACGAAAATTTTCAGTTCATAACAAGCCAAATTCGTAGAACAGAGCATGTGCAAGGCCAAAGTTACTGTAAATTTACCGCTATTCACTGCATAAGCGCACAGAGGAATGCAGAACATTTTTGTGTAAACAATTGTTTGACAGCGACAAAGCCAACTATTTTTGGTTTTTGAATTATTTCTCACATATCATTCTACTTTCTATTATTATTTTTATGAATTCTTTTAGTAAATACTATAAGCAACTATAATAAATTAAAAAAAAAATATTTGCAATATTTGAAAGTATTTATTTTTGCTAAGAAAGTCGAAAAATAATTTTTTTTTCTAGTGTGAAAACAATTTCTTGACATACTGTATATCGGGCTAAAATGCAAGAATTTCGCATCCACGTGGCAAATCCTTTAATTATTTCATATTACGCGTCCCTCCAAAAGAAAGGAAATGCCGCCGACTTTTGAGAAAAATTTAATTTCTGCGCACTTTTGCTTGCGCGGTCGCATACACACAAACACATTTAAACGATCCCTAAACGTAAAGAGAGAGCATTGAGAGCACTGAGGGTAAGTGGGAGCGAGAAAAAAACCAGCGATGTCGTTCTATCAAAGAAGAGAGTAAGCCAAAGATGTTTCCTGTAGTGTAAGCGAATAAAGATACATCATATATATATCTTACTCCCTTGCTCACGATTTTGGACCAGATTTCAACGATTTTTGTGTGTCCACTCTGGTTGTACTGCATGTCCTATCTATATGTTGTTTGGTTAGTGGTCAACTGTAATTGATATATGTATGTAATTTTTTTATATTTGAAATTATTAATTAAATAATTATTATTTTTAAGTAATACACTCTTTTATCGATCTTTTATTCCTTAATTGGAGAATAAAAATAATATGAATTTAATTTAAATAAATTATGTAAATATTTGCATCGACTTAGAAATACATATTTTGTACGGAGCCAACCTCAGTACACAAAATGCATTCATATATCGACACAAATTTGGGATAGGTCATGATCTGCGCTAGAAAACTAACAAAATGAATTTCTTGCCAGCTAAAGCTAGAGCAGTGAATAACAACACATGCATACATACTTTAAAGTTCTTATGCACGTATAATTCACGTATACAACCAAAGGTGCTTGCACGCCATTGGCTGAGACAAGAACTTTTCTCGAGCATACACTGTTCAAAAACATAAGTGAAATCAATCTATGTGTGCTATTTATACCTTGAACCCATTAAAAATGGGTATAAGGGTATGTTGTATTTGTGCAAAATCCAAATGTATGTAACAGGCAGAAGGAAGCATATCTGAACCCATAAAGTATATATATTCTTGATTATAGCCGAGTCGATCTCTCTTAAATATGTGTGTGTGTATGTGATCGCACCAGCAAAAATGCGCAGAAATTCAATTTTTCTCAAAAGTCGGCAGCATTTCTTCCCTTTTGGAGGGGCGCGTAATATAAAATAATGAAAGGGTTTGCCACGTCGATGCGATATTCTTGCATATTAGCTCGTCATCGGTACCCAAGCATGTGTGCATTTTAAATATTTTAAACTTGCTATTCACGCATACTTGCATTTTTTGTATATGAATAGAAGCATTTATTCATTTGTGTGACTGTTGGTTGCCTGCCTGCCTGCCTGTACAATGCAAATTTGACAAGATTTTGGAATTTTTAATTTTCGACTATGTTGGGTATTATTCGTCGATTAATGTTGGGTAGCTAGAAAGCTCCGTGGCAACAGTTTTAGGTAGTTTCTAACGGATTATTTTGAATTTGCAGTAGCATAAAACGATCATTCTGCTCTGTTATCTTACGCGTTCTGCCTTGGTGTCTTGGCGAGGTACATAGTGTAACTTACTTTTATTTTGTAGGGAAATACTAGAGTTATACTTCGCCACCATATCATTTTTAAAAAAATTTATTCAATTAATTTTTTTTACCCTAAGCTAATTCAACATTTTAAGCAAAATTGTTCTTATGAGCAGTTCCAAGCAGTATTTATTATTAAAAGCCGCGTGGCTTAGCTTCAAGATTGTTATTGGTCGTGTACATTGATCTGTGTATTAGCAACTAATTAACTACAGATTTTTTATGGAAACTGAAGTCTTGGTATGATGGTAAGGCATGAGGCGGTGGCAAGGTTAAGTAGAGTTGCGAGTTCGGCTCTGGTTAAGCTAAAAAATATTTTATTCAAATTCTTAAGCAAACGAGCGCGGAGTGCAAGCTGCATTTGGTGTTGGAATAAAAATTTCCAGGGTATCCCGAATATAATAAATAAAGTTAACTTATTAAAATAACCATCACATTATTATTTTGCAAGTAAAGCCTACAGCTATTAATCAATTTACTTATATTAATCGACTTACATTGGCCAATAATCAGGCGACGACTGGTGCCCAACTACATATAAAAACGAAATCCAATTAAAATATAACAAGAAGTACGAATCAGATTCAACAAGAAAAAAAAAACTTTAAAACAAATCGACGAGCCTCGCATCCACGAGCCATATACAAGCAATACAAGTAAGATACTCCAATCGGGAGCTCCCTACTAGGGGATACCCTAAGCCGTCTTCTACCAGCAGCATATGAAGCTCGCGCTACAAGATCGCTTGATTTAACAGTAATACAAAGTAATTTATGCACAAAATTTCCCTCGATAGCGCTCGGCTCGCAACAGTCCACGCTACATGCCATCGATTTACATACACACAGCACACAAAACCATACAATCGCAATTGCAATGCTGTTAATAGAATTCAAAAATGACGCGCGTGTATATGTATACAATATATATATATAACCACACGTTTTCTTTCAATAGTAGATCTTATTGTACTATTGAATATTTGCATATTCTAAAAAAGTCAATTGCATTAAAATTGTGGCTTAAGTTGGTGGGCAATACAAATTAATTTATATTACTTGATTTATAGCTTTGTGGTAGCAGTAGGGAGGTGGCGATAGTTTTATAATGAAAAATATTTGATATTTTTATATCATTCTAGAAGCTACATGTCATAAATGTTGAGTAGAGTCGGCGCAAGTAGTGCGGTTGGTTGCGAGTTCGAACCCTGCGAAGGGAACTTTTTTTTATACCCTGAACCCATAAAAAACGGTTAAAAGCCACTACGTAACAATAAATCAAATACATTTGAACTACCCTTTTTACAAATATACATATATTCTATAGCTTAAAAAGTTATACTGAAAGTTTCGTCACGATCGGTTAAGAAACACAAAGAAAACGTGTTTTGGCTGGCCTCGTGCTTACGGCTGCTAGCGCAAATTCCAAGAATTTCTGTATACATGTACACACACATTACTGCGCGTCTGCTTTAAATTCTATCAACAGCATTGCAATTGGGATTATATTGTTTTCTGTGCTGCTATTTTAATTCGTTTTTTTCTCATTAAGAATTAATAATTGGTGTGGCTGTTGGGTAGAGGCGGCGGCAAGTAAAGAAATCTGTTGCGGGTTCGAACCCTACCGAGGAAACTGTTTTTTTTTTCTTTTTGGATGGTGTAGCTGTGTCGGCAGCAAGTAATGCGATTAGTTTTTACCTACTTGTTACTTGTTCGGTTCATAATGGGAAAATATATTGCCCTATTATTTAAGAAATTTTCGCAACTGTTACCACATATTACACATGCAATGTATATTAAAAAAGTCTTCACCACTTTTGAAAGTATAACGACAAGAATTTCGAAATATTCCAAGATTTACTTACCTATCATAGTTCCAACAATTAAAGCCACCCCACTGAAGAGGCCCAGCCTACAAAGCAAATAAAAATTATTCAATTTTAATTTTGATTAAAACATGTATTTATACTATATACTCATGAATTTTTTGACGAGTAATGTATTTCTGTTGTATTTTTATTATTTAATATATATATATACTAGTCCCGGCCTTACCAGTAGCAAGTTTTGTGCTTAACATTTTAGATATGACCTACCTCCCAAGAATCTTGACGCGCTCTTCTTTATGATTTAGAGTTTGAATTGATTATTAAATGTTGACCCATTATTGCCTGCAGAAGCCCGCTAGACCGAAAGAGTAAACGTTTGGCAAGCACATGCACCTGCATATATAGGTCGAGCGCCTGATCACTTAAATGATTTTATGACCAGCGGAGATTTGTATGCATGTAAATGTAAATCTTCAAAGTCTTCAAATGTCATATACAAAGAAGTAAGAGGTTCTAGTCGGTAGCTCCCGACAAGGGGATACCCTGATCGGAAACAAACCCGTTCTGCGCATTGACTAGGAGGACCTACAGCTAAATTTCAAGTGTCTAGCTCTTATAGGTTCTGAGATCCTTGCGCTCATACATACGGACAAACGGACAGACGGGCAGACAGACGGACATGGATAGTACGACTCAGTTGTTGATGCTGATCTAGAATATATATACTTTATGGGGTCGGAGGTGCTACGTTCTGCCAGTTACATACATTTGCACAAATACATTATACCATTTTTACCCATTTTCAATGGGCTCAGGGTATAAAAAGGTATGGTTATATACATACACATTTATTCATAATTTTATTGACTTATCTTACTTAGCTTTTTCATTTAATTTACTCAATCCAGGCCTGAATTCATAAAAAAGAAGTCAGACGCGAGCCAATATTGAAATTTTCTTTTGCGCCCATGATCTGCCCACTCATATACATTTGCGTGTGTGTGTGTGTGCGCGTTTAGAGCTCGATTTTCAGAAATCACAATAAATTCAAATCTTGTCAAATTAGCAAGTGACAGGCAGGCCGGCAACCAACAGGCACACAATCGCATAAATGCATCTATTCATATACAAAATATGCAACTATGCGTGAATGCCAACGCTTGCGTACCTATACCAATTATAACGAGCTAAAATGTAAGAATTTCAGATTCACGAGGTAAACCCTTTAATTATTTTAAATTACGCGTCCCTTCAAAAGAGAAGAAATGCAACCGACTTTTGAGAAAAATTGAATTGCGGCGCATTTTTTCTTGTGCGGTCACATACACACAAACACACTTAAGCGATCCCTAAACGTAGAGCGCATTGAGAGCAAAAGCAGTTTCCTGTACTGTAAGCGAATAAAGATACACCATATATATATCTTACTCTCTTGCTCGCGATTTTAGACCAGATTTCAACGATTTTTGTGTGTCCACTCTGGTTGTACTGCATGTCCTATCTATATGTTGTTTGGTTAGTGGTCAACTGTAATTGATATATCGATACAAACCGAAGGAATGTATCGATGTTTAAATAAGCAACCGATCACTCTTTGAAAGATTGTTTATAATAAAAAACCAACTTTCTTGTTTTAGACATAGTTTGCGAATCAAAAAGCGAATTAATTGCTATTTTGCCAGCCAGAACGTGCGGTTTAATCAAGACACTAGCATGCATATGAACAACTACATACATATATGCAGCTCTAAAAGGGATTGTGGAAAGTGACTCCAGTATGAACAACTCGACCGGAGTGACATCCAAATTATTACACACTAGAAATGTGGAAAACGATCAAACTCCAGGAATTGTGGCACCAAGTTTAAATGATGTTAGCTAGCTAGCACAGTAGTGCTAGTGCATTTTTTTAATAAGCATGGTGAGTAGCAGAGAGAAAGAGACGACGATAGTGTGCTTGTAGCAAAAGTCATGGTGCCAGACGAAAATCGTAGAATTGACGAATCTTGTGATTTCATATTTATCAAATTCGTGAAAACGCTTTTGAAATTACTAATCAAGCACTCAGTACCAACATCTTACAACAAGAGGAGACAAATGCGAGAACAATATTTGTCTCGTAAGCGTGTAGCGGATGTAAAATTAAGTGTTTTGAAAACTGAGAACGAAGTAACTGCACTAGCAGAAACGCCAATACACCATATCGTTTTTAAGCAGAATTTGACGGCGTGGGATGTTGGATAGAGGTTGGGGGCTCGCAAAATCGCTAAGAATGAAAGTGCGTTGCAATGTTGTGATATGTAGAAAAGCAGCGCAAGCAGACATGGCCACGAGTGATGTGCTGAAATTCATAGTGGATGGATCACAGGATAGACAGAACGGCATCCATGCTATTTCGCAGCTCATTGAACGACTTGCGAGAATAGATAATAGCCTACGATAAGATAAGAAAATCGTTAATATCTGTCCTAAGTCGGAGGGAGGACGTACATATATAGCTAAAGAAAAAGTGGATGAGGAGTCAATAAGCATCAAGGAGTCAGCGCAGCGCAATCTGTTAAGATGAGAAAAAAGACCATGGATTAGGAGGACGACCAGTCCCAATATTGGGAAACTTTAAGTGTTGTGTAGAGTTTGTCAAAAAGACATACACACTTTTTTGCTACCTTTACCAGTTCTTTTGGGACAAGATGCCCTCAAAATCAGGGAAATACAATTGGTTCATAAGAAAAACATTAATGAAAATTATCATACAACATTATGTTCAAGAAAGCATGAAGCTGCTTATCTAGCTTTTGCGTCTTTACTAACCAAGAACTCTAATAATGGTAATGTAAGTCCATCTAATAATTTAAATAATTATAACTACAACCAATCACAAAGTAGCGAGCTAAGCAATAGTTTTCTTTCTAATAAATAAACTAGTCATATTCTCCCATTTTTCAGTCGAAAAATTCAAACATACGGACAGACAGACAGACAGACGGACATGGCTATATCGACTCGACTATTGATGCTGATCAAGACTATATATACTTTATGGGGTCGGAGAGTTACATACATTTCGATTTTGCACAAATACAATATACCCTTATACCCATTTTTAATGGGATCAGGGTATAATTATTGTTAGCGCAATAACAAAAGAAAAAATATTTGCAACAATATTTTCGGTTGCGGTTCAAATAAAAATATTGCTTTGGGCAAAACAATGTTTACAAAATAAACGAGACTTAAAGGCTATCTTCGGCACGCCGATAATACCCTTGCAGACCCAACCTTCTCATAATGCCCATAGGTCTTTGTTAATGCCGAGTTTGGTCAAGATGTCTTGATAAACAAAAAGGTTTTTAATGAAAAACCTAGTTTTCGACCGACCGTTCATATGGCAGTTATTTGATATAGAAGTCCGATGTAATTAAGATTTTGCAAAAATGAAAGGAGCATAGCGAAATCTTTAAATGCCGTGTTTAATCAAAATATCTTGAATGACAAAAAAGTTTTCCATACAACAACTTAATTTTCGACCGATCGTTCCAATGACAGCTATATGATATAGTGGTCCGATCCAGCTGTTTTTGACATATGTGCTGCGTGCAACAGAAAGAGGGTTTCCAAAGTTGCATTAAGATAGCTTTAAAACTAATAGACTAGTTACTAGTTCGCATAGAAACAGACAGACGGACAGGCTATATCGCGGCTGTTGATACTGATCAAGAATATATATACTTTATGGAGTCGGAGATGTCTCCTTTTATGCGTTACACATTTAACGACAAAATTATAATAGACAATTGTCGTTTGGCCTAGTGTACGGTTCAGTTCATGGTAAATATAAATTAAGTTCCGGGTGTAGCCTGCCTCAAAGGTAATATAGTATGAAACTATTAGGTTGCTTTTCCAAACTGATTTTTACCTTCTCTCGAGGTGAACAGTGTCGTTCTGCGTTGAGCCATGCCTCTCCAGCGGCTTCCGCATCCGCCCGGTCCCTGATGAGTCGGTCTCTGTCGCTTCGGGCCCCTCAGTCCCATTGGCACACATTGTCCCGTTGCTCGTTGCTTTGGTTGGCACATTATGTCCTAAATGGTTACATTAGGTTTGTCCGATAAATACACAAAAAAAATTACCGATTAGTAAGAAACAAATGATTTAACAAGAATGAACGGCTATCTTTGGCCAAAGCATAAATTCCGTTGTAGACATAATGCTTACGGATTCGCAAGAAAATAGCGAAACTTGTATGTTGGTTATGTGAAGTCAAGATATCTATAAAATAGAAAGGTTCTCTAAATAAAACTGATAAAATTATCAAAGTAGTTCACGTAAATATCAAGTTTGGTTTAGATATATTTTTGAATAAAAGAGTTATTCATAAAATTACTTAATTGTTTTTGTGGCAATTTTAAGATAAGAGTGGTCCAATGTTGATAAGAATTAGCTTTTATATACTGAGAATTTTTAAACTAATACAGTGTTTAGTAAAGATATCTTTAAAAACAAAATGTTATACGAAAAAATTATTTTCGAGATACCTATGTAAAGTGTATTAAATGTATGTAACTTTAAAACTGAGAGACTTGTATACGGACAGAAGGACAGCAGGGCACAACTATCTCGATTCATCAGTTGACACTGATCAGTAATACAAAGATATATACATTAAGTGTCTCCTTTTAAGTGATACGGTTTTTTAAACGAATTATATTATCCACTGCATGGGTATATGAAAACAATGATAGTGAAATATACATTAATTATATATATATCAATTATTATTTTTTAACAGTTTAAAAGATAAACTTATACTCTGCATGGTATGTGTTTTTTTTTTATTAAAAAATATAAACACTACAACGAATGCCTGACGCATTGGTCGATATTATAAAATAAAACAGCACACACTAATACATGTCAACCCACCTCTGTTATCTGCTGAATTATTCTTGCATGTGTTTTTTTGCAAGCAAAATAGTTGTGATATTTTATCGCGCATGGCATGGACGGATGAAAAAAAGCCAAATTGATATCGTCACGAATTTCAGCTCCCAGTAAAGAATGTAGCGAACAAGAGGGAAGCAGAATTTGAATGCTGTTGAGGCGGCAAAAGCACGTGCTGACTGGTCTATTAATCAATGGCAACTGTTAGAACAATTTGCTGAGGTCTCTTCAAATACCGTTGATAAGCTAACGATGTGTTTTGTGAAGGGAGCCGAAGACGAAGCGTCGAATGTCGAATTGCTGAGATCTGCTTTCTCCCGTATGAACGGTCAAGCTCTCTGAACTGTCGCTAAGCGCTCTCGGGTCTGCTTCGGGTATAAGTATTAGCATACATTTGTAGTTTTGCTTGCACTATTTACAAGGTGCTGAAGTAATAGTTCTCGTTACTTCATTTATTAAATACTCAGTTTAATTTAGAAAACTATTATGATTTTTTGTATTTTTTTTTGGATTAGCCCGCCTTCTCAGTAAGTTATAAATTTGTATAGCGCTGCTCGCCACTATAGAGAACTTTTTTGCAGACATGTGGCTATACAGCAAACATGAAAATATAATTTCGAATATTTTCTATGTCTGTATTCCATCGCTATTTTTAGCAGTGTTAGGAGTATGTATATAGGAATTTAAAATTTCGTAGTCCGACTTTTTGTCTATTGTGTGTACACACAGACATATGTTATTATACGAGTCCACGTAGTATACGGCCTAAGTTACTAAATTGCCCTTGTTCAATGCACAATCAAAACTGCAACCCAAGCTATAAAGCAAGGACCAAGCATGGTTTCTATTGCGCTGTGTGAAAACTGCGAATTCCTTTATTCTCTTTCCTTTTCATATTTAAATAATTTAATATCAATAAAACTGATTACATATATTTATATAATGATATATTTATATATAAAACTATATATTGATTTGGCTGTATCAATTCAACAAAGTTGCCTGTCTGTTGGTTTCTCTGTCTCTAGGGTATCTCTTAGTAGTGAGCCGACAGTCACTCTTCTTTCTCTCTTATAGTACACAAAGAAATGATTTGGTTGCCTGTTCTCGTGCATTGCGCATTTCTCTCCCATCTGAGTCAATTGTAAGTTTATTAATAGAGAAACCCACTTTGGCTACTTCTTTCTATTAGGTCATGTTTTGCTGTCTATTACATACTAAATGGAAACAAAGCTAATCAATATTTTTTGCTACGTCACACATTTTTACACTTTGCAAGCACATACATATGCATGTATGTATATGTATATGGTTGTATATATATTAAACAACATTTTGTCAGTTATTCTACCGTTAGTAATAACACGAATGAATGTATGTATAGTTGAACAATTAAAAACTATACATTGGCGTCGATCTGTTTTTAAATCAGGAATAAATTAATTTGGCGTTAAAGTCTATATCTGTATATATATATATATATATATATATATATATATATATATATATATATATATATATACATATATATGTGTATACATATATACAATTGTTCAAATAACACATGAACTTATAATTAATTGCCTTACAAGTATATAAGTATTAGCATGTATTCATACGATCAAACGTAAGTAAATAAGGGTTCTTTTATTTAAAATAAAGCCTATTATAAAAGGTAAAATGGAATAATTTAAAAAATTAAAGTGTGTGTGGATTCTAGAAAGACTGATATAGTCGAGCGAGCATGACTGTGAGATTCCATGTAAAACAAACACACACACACACACGAACGCCTTATGACGGACAGCTAAAAAACAGTCTGCTTCTTGCCCCTCCATAATGCTACGGAATATTCGTTCATTGATAACTTTGTTAATTGCTGGATCCTTTTAACATTATCAGGGTGTAAATTTGGCGTTTAAATGTAGAATGTGGTAGCGGGGATGTATGCAAAATAATCTGCGCGATTTGCAAATAAACAAATTAATATTGATTGAGGTTCACGAGTTTCTTCTAGAAAAGTTATTCCAAAAATCGTTGAGACGTTGCTTTAAATTATTTATATCGATAAGACTATTACATAAGTAGTTCGATTTTTCGTCACCGCGTTTTGTAAAACCCTATATTTTTTGTAGATATGCGCTAAAAACAAATGAATGAAAAAAAAGAAGAAACTTCCCTTTTAGCCGGTGACAAACTTGTTGCTACCTTCATCAGATGGAACTACTTGTCATACCAAGAATTTAATTTTGTCGCAACAAATATACTTTGTTTAACTTTCAATAAATAGAATTAAAACAAGACGCGTATTCAAAAGAACATATGTACAATGTACAGACATTTTTATACCCTGAACCCATTAAAAATGGGTATAAGGGTATATTGTATTTGTGCAAAATCCAAATGTATGTAACAGGCAGAAGGAAGCATCTCCGACCCCATAAAGTATATATATTCTTGATCATCACCAATAGCCGAGTCGATCTAGCCATGTCCGTCTGTCTGCCCATCCGTCCGTCCGTCCGTATGTATGAACGCAAGGATCTCAGAACGTATAAGAGCTAGAGATGTAGATGCTCCTAGTTCCCGCGCAGATCGAGTTTGTTTCCGATAATCGATAACTTACTCCGTTTCCAAGCAATCGATAAAAATCGATATCGATATCATGTTTGTTGAGCGAATTGGGTAAATAATAAGAGCTAGAGTCACCAAACATGAGATATAGCTTCTATAAAAGAATATATATATGCATTGAATGTTGGAAGAAGAGGGTTCAGGGCATCCCTTAGTCGGGAGCTCCCGACTAGAACCTCTTACTTGTTGCGCTTGCAGCCGTGTGACCATCCAATATAACTACATGTTTTCCTTAATGACTTCTGTGTATTTAAACCGATCTTGGTGAAATTTTCAGCAATAGATTTAATTGTGGTATTTAATATACTTGTATATTATAAAGAACACAATATCATTAAATTTGTGGTTTTAATTGGTATGTAGTTCCTGACAGGCGGACCTGCTCATCAAGATTACATATATTTGCGCAAAACCTCATACCTTTTTTTACCATTTTCAATGGGTTTTGGGTATAAAAACACAGCTTTTAAGGCATACAAGTAAGAGGTTCTATACCCTGAACCCTGAACAAGAATATATATACTTTATGGGGTCGGAGATGCTTCCTTCTGCCTGTTACATACATTTGGATTTTGCACAAATACAATATACCCTTATACCCATTTTTAATGGGTTTAGGGTATAATAAGTTAACGAGTATCCATTGCACAGTCAGCGGCGCTAACCTGATCCCTTGCAAGAGCAGCGTTATCGCTTATGCTGAGGCGGCTTGCCGGCTGTAGTTTTGTAGCTTATGCTTCTTTGTAGCCTCAGCTCGCTGGTGGTTTAAGTTTTAGTTCTGTTGAAATAGCTTTAGTCAACACTCGAGCTACTTATCAATAAACTTCGATTCATCGTAGGTAAAAACTGGATAATTCATTGTTGAGCAACAGCATTCTACTACTAAGTGATTCCACACAAGTAGGGACGAACATTAATTCCCGTTGAGAGTCGGCCATCGGGATATCAACAAAATTAAATTGAGCGGGACACCTATCGACACCTTTACTAGATTCATCAAATGCATATTTTGTATACAGGGCGTTCAAACGCGTTTTTAGAAGTATATCGTTTTGCATATATTTCGACTATAAACAACGCTATTGTTAATAAACCAATTTCTGATTTACTCCGCAGTTGGTGGAGACAAGAAATATATGTGTTTTTTGTACGCTTTGTTTTGTTTTTTGATTTTTATCAAAGCATCGGCGATTATAATATTCTAATTTAAAATAAATATTTACTAAATATGTTTGCCTTTCTCGTAATTTTTTTTTGTTTTATCGCGAGTGTATGCTTCTGCATATATTATATTGGGTTACAGTAGTAACCCAAAATAATGGACCATAAAACTGTCTGTTTCAAATAGTTCACTCCTCGTGACTTGCCTTTGCCAAATACACTTCCACCTCCGACCCCGATCACACAGCTGATCATCTCTTTTGCTACTCCGGTATCTGTGAGGCCTGCTGTGGACACTAGTTAAGTTCTGTGTGACATCGGTACGTGAAAAAAATTCGTTTTTTCCGAGTCATCCGCTGTCGTAGAAGTTCTTACAAAGCAATAGCAAAAATTATATTTATAGCGAACGCTAGAACTCTCGTCGTCCGGACTACCGGCTGTAGAGACCACAGCTGATAGTATTCCCACTATCGCATCGGTGTTGCCTAAGCCTTTAGTGGACGTTCCACCGAAAGAATATATTTTTATTTCCAGGCTTGTTCTTCATTTTCTTCGGATGATGTTAATCCTTTATATAGGCAAAAATCAAGCTCCAAGTATCGGTGAAAAATTTCATGTTCGACTGACTAACTTCTCTCGTGCTTGAGTATCAAAACGGAGGAGTACTTATAGCCGTTGAGCCTACTCTTTCGCCGGAACTTCCCACCTCGAAGATCAGTTTTTTGGGTGTAAAAGTGGCATTTGGTACTTTCTGTGTATTTAATTCATGTTCCTATGTTCCCCCATTATCTAAGATGTCTATTTACTAAAACCATCTTAACGCTATTAAATCTATAAAACCTCTTATGCGTTTTTGATGATTTTAATCTCCAAGAGGTTGATTGTTCATCGCCAATGGATTTAATTTGATTGATGGTCTACATAAGACTGCAGGTTAATCGGGTGCGTAACTCAAGAGACAGATCCTTTGATTTGATCTTCGTGTTGGATTCATTCGACAGTTTTGTGCACTGAATTGAACCGCTTCACTTTCTTAGGACCCCTTTCATACAACTTTGGATTTGGTCATTGATCTATCAGATTGTGGACATATCAAGGAATCGAAATTAGCTGATCGTGTCCGTGATCTGGTTCTCAAGGGATGATATTAAACAAGTAAGAGGCTCTAGTCGGGAGCTCTCGACTAGGGGATACCCTGAACCCTCTTTTTCCAACATCAAATGCATATATATATTCTATTTTAGAAGCTATATGTCAAGTTTAGTGAATCTAGCTCTTATTATTTGCAAAAATTGCCCAAAAAACAGGATATCGATATCGATTTTTATCGATTGCTTGGAAACGGAGTAAGTTATCGATTATCGGAATCAAACTCGATCTGCGCAGGCATTATGAGCACCTACATCTTAAATTTTAAGTCTCTAGCTATTATAGGTTCTGAGATCCTTGCTTTCATACATACGGACGGACGGATGGACGGACAGACAGACGGACATGGCTAAAACGACTCGGCTATTGATGCTGATCAAGAATATATACTTTATGGTGTCGTAGATGCTTCCTTCTGCCTGTTACATACATTTGGATTTTGCACAAATACAATATACCCTTATATCCATTTTTAATGGGTTCAGGGTATAAAAATAGAAAACGAGAAAATCTCATATCGAAAACTATAAAACAGTTACTTTAATTATCCGCTATCCCTTAAGCTTCTGAGAGAATCATAACATCTATTATTTCACCATCACAACATGGGTTCGTGTAGCGTCGATATACAACTACTAACCTTCTTAAGTTTACTTCAGTAGTAATTACTGTTTAAAAAAAAAAATGCAGTCTGACGTCATCTAGAATGATATTAAAGCTTTAGACTCAGTTTATCAATTCTAACTACTTCAAAAATTATGCCTTCTCGGCTTCCTAGTCAATCTTTTGAACTGGAGGTCAAAATATTTCAGTGTGAGATGCGTTTGTAAATGTATTTAGGTGATTTCTGCTGTCCACTAAGGTAGTCACCTTGGCCCACTACTCTTTACTCTATTAATCAGTGACCTTTCCTCTATACTATCTTACTCTCGAGTGCTAATGTTCGCTGAATATGTAAAAATGTGCTTGCACACCATATAAAGATATGGCATCTTGTAATCTTTTACAAGTTGACATTGAGGCCTCTCAGTCTTGATGTCAACTTTACCTGTTAAATCTAAACTGTTCCAAATGCGAAATACTCCAATATACTTTTGATGATTAATCTTTTTCTTTAATTAATCGTAAAACTCTGTTTGGTGTAATATTTACTCAGAAGTTAATTACGGGTGTAATCGACACAGCTGGGTTGACTAGCCAATTAAACTTCGCTGCCCCTACTAGAATAACATTTAATTATACACCTGTGTCACTTAAATTTTGTTCAACTGACTTACAACTCTCTTACATGCTCCGTTCCGTGTCCTCTGTGATGATTACAAGTATTAAATTGTATTCTGCAAGGAGTTTTCTCTTCCTCATATAAACCATCTATTCTAAACTATTTAGCATGTAGATAGCCTTAGCCTATAGTCTTAGTTTGTGTTCATTACACGACTGCGCTTCTCAGTTGGTTGGGCTGAATTTGGTATGCAGCACATTGCATCGGGAATCGCGCGAAATTTATGGGGTCGACGTGCTGGCATAAATATGATTTTATATAATGCACACCATATGTACATACATATCTGTAATACATTCTTCGTTTTTACGAGCTACACCATGTTACTACAAATCGAGCAAATCAACATCAACTTTTAATATAGACACTCTATTTCTCTCTTTACATGTTTTAAAGTCATAAGCTCCACGCATAGCAATAAAATGCTCTCTCGCTCACAACAATTGTAATGAATGCGTGTTTCAAAACTTCAATTTTATAATGATACAAATTTTATAAAAGCCGCGCTGCCGAACATGCAAGCTGCCTTCTATACATACACATATATTTATAAAGAAACACACACTTGTCTTCTTCTTCTCCCCTTGTTTTCAACTTGCAAGCAGCCCAGCAAAAAATTAAAATTTTCATTTTGACCAGCAAACTATATTTTCTCAAAATAGGGTATTTTAACTATTGATCAGTGCTGTAACCAAAGACCACTAATCTTGATACATATATAACAATTTTTGTCCAATGTCACAAACATAATGTGTCTCAACTCACACATTTTGCTAAAAATCTAAATGTACTATATATGTACATATGTTTTCCAAGCCAAGAGAAATATATGCATTTAAGTCGGTTGCAACATTCTGTTCCTTTACAGCTTAAGGATTTTTGTTAGCGCCCATTGCGTACAGCCACTAACCAAACAACATATAGACTGGACAGTCAGTGGACGGCGATGGAGCCCCTTGTTTTCTGTGCGGCTGGTCCAAAGTCGCCTTCGTTTTTGTTCGGGTTCTAGACGCGCTCGCGCGCTTCGACAGCAAAAGAGAAAGAAATACATATGATTTATCCGATAGAACGGCATCGCTGCTTTTTTTATTCCCTTGCACTACTGGAAACTGCTTTGGCTTACTCTCAGTGCTCTTTCAATTTGTGTAATTCAATTATTCTCAAAAGTCGGTTGCATTTCAAAAACCGTTTGTTTCCCATTGCTACAGATTAAGAGCCACAATACATTTTATTGGTTTTCATGCATGATTGTTGTTTGCATAGAAACAGATAGCCCAAAATACGGACTTGTCATCTCAGCTGCTAATGCTGTTGATGAGTTATGCATTACATTCCAAAATTATAAAACCCGCTGCAATAATATGTATAAAAGACACGCATATTATTCTGTGGATGTACATGTAAACAGAAATTCTTGCACGTTCCGCTAGCCTTAAGATTGCGGCTTAACACTTTAATGTGATTTACACTTGTTTATTCGATTTTGCGTGATAGGGAGGCGGAATCCGAAAAACGAACTATACTTAATCTATGTGTATTATACGAAAAGATACTTGCCATATTTGGTGACTAAAGCTCTCTAACCTAAAATCTGTTGCTGGTAAACTGCGCAAGTTATCGATGATATAAAAATGCCTCGTACTGTGCGGGAACATGTAAAGCTTTTAAGTCTCTAGCGCTTTTCAAGGTTGTAAGATCAACGCATTCATCCACACGGACAGACACATAGACGGACGGGAGTCAGGCGGACATGGCTATATCGACTCGACTGTTGATGCTAAACAAGATTATATATAACATACTTTGGTCGAAGATGCTACCTTCTTCCTGTTACATACATTTGCACTGAAGCATGAGCATTAGCATTCTGAGTGTTACCCATTTCAAATGGGTTCAGGATATAAAAATTGTCAACTGCTGCAACTCGTGGCCCCCTCAACCAAAGAACCCAATTGCCTTCGCCTCATTTGAAAGGAAGGAACTACTTGCCTTCGTTTCATACCTTACCGCCATATAAACTTATAGATTTATACTCGAAAACTGAATTAAATACACTACAATTGCAATTCTATCCATTTATATTATATTATATTACTAACCAAACAACATATAGATGGAACAGCTCGACAAGAAAAGTAGCTATTAATTTTGTGCAGATTAAGTCCCGCATTGACTACGTTTTTGTTTGAGTTCAAAACTCGCTCTCTTATTCAGAGAGCGAGAGAGCTATATGCTCTGTGTGATAAAATGACATCCCTAATTTTTATTTCGGTCCCACTATAGGAAACTGCTTTGGCTTTCTCTCGCATGTGGATTTTTCTCAAATTTCGATCGCAGGTATTCTCTTTTAAAGGAAGGAGCAATGTGAAATAATGAAAGGACTTGAACAGCGATGCGAAAATATTGTATTTTGCATAGTATTTGTATCTAAGCGTACCTAAGCGTTGGCATGTTAACACGTTAACAACTTTTTATACCCTGAACCCATTAAAAATGGGTATAAGGGTATATTGTATTTGTGCAAAATCCAAATGTATGTAACAGGCAGAAGGAAGCATCTCCGACCCCATAAAGTATATATATTCTTGATCAGCATCAATAGCCGAGTCGATCTAGCCATGTCCGTCTGTCCGTCTGTCTGTCCGTCCGTCCGTCCGTCCGTCCGTATGTATGAGTCAAAGGATCTCAGAACCTATAAGAGCTAGAGACTTGAAATTAGATTAGATTAGATGTAGATGCTCCTAGTTCCCGCGCAGATTGAGTTTGTTTCCGATAATCGATAACTTACTCCGCTTCCAAACAATCTATAAAAATCGATATCGACATCCTGTTTTTTTTTTAGCAAATTGGGTAAATAATAAGAGCTAGAGCCACCAAACATGATATGTTGCTTGTAGAATATTATATAAATGTCAAGTATCTTTCATTTCATACCTATCGCCACCTCCCCGCTACCACCTCAGAGCTATAAATCAAGTTAATAACCCAACTTTTATTGCCAACCAATTTAAACCACAATTTAAATGCAATTGATTTTTTCAGAATACACAAATATTCTATGGTACAATAAGATATACTGTAGAAAATTTCATAAAGATCGGTTAAGAAAAACCAAAGTTATATGCAACTGCGCAATTTAATGGGGCAGCAGCTTTAACAATTTCTGTATACATGTACACACACACATTCATGCGCGTCTGCTTCGCATTCTAATAGCATGGTAATTGCATCTTTTTTTTGTAATGTTATTTTAGTTCCTTTTTTATCATAAGTACTTAATTGTTGGTGTGGCTGCTGAGTAGAGGCATAGCAAGTGGTGCGGTCTGTCGCGAGTTCGAGTCCTACCGGGGAAAGTATTATTATTATTTTTTTTTTTGTTGCTGGTGTGGCTGTTGAGTAGAGTCGACAGTAAGTAATGCGGTCAGTTGCAAATTCGAGCACTGCCAAAGGAACTTTTTTTTATTAATTTATTTGGTGTTGGAATAAGAGGGTTCAGGGTATCCCCTAGTCGGGAGCTCCCGACTAGAACCTCTTACTTGTTTTTAACTGGCCATGCACGCACCCTTACGCAAGTTAGTATATGAATACGAGCATTAATGCGCTTGTTTCAATTGGTTGCCTGCCTATCATTTGAAAATTTGCACAGATTTAAAGTTTTTTGGGATTTCTGAATTTCCAGCTCTACACACAAACATACAGATGCGTGTGATAGGCTTTTATTTAAATTTTTGTTTTTACAATTAAATTAAACAAAATATAGTAATATAAGTATAATTGATTGCTTCCCAGGCATTCTTGCTACCTAATCTTCCTCCGTTCTCCGATTTCTGCGCTCAACTCTCCTGAGTTCTCCATTGCTGCTGCTGCATAGGTGCTTGTTGCGTGCGGTCTCCAGCATGCTCGTGACCAGGTTGTCCACCGTGATAGGTCTGCCCATGCTTTCTTCTAGTTCCTCTCTGTTCGCTAAGAAACGTCCATTCTCGAAGATGATGTGGGCGGCGTCCTCTACGATTCCTCGGCCGCACCAAGAACACTCGTCTGTGTCGTCGTGACCGAAACGCTTCAGAAGCTTCTGAAGCATCCGTGGCCAGGTAGGACCTGCGTTTAATAGAAATAAGTATCACCATACTTGCGATTTATTCAGGTTTCCAAGTTTGGGATAAGCCTGTGCGTCCAGCGTTCTTTAGGTGAGCGATCCCATCGTGCTTGCCATCGCTCTGCCTCCTTGCTGCTGTGCGAACCGAGTTTGCTGTAGCTATAGAAAACTAACGCTTCGGGGACCAGTTCGCTTAGTGGGATCATCCCTGCGATCACTAGTACAGTGTGTGATTGGTATATGACTCTCTTGCTCGCTGAGCAAGTGAGTGAGTTTCGGACCCGATCAAAAACAAACTCGATGCGCGACCTTATCCACAGAAAATTAATGGTTACAATTTTTTGTTCTACCTGTTCCATCTATTTGTTGTATGGTAAATGGTTATTCTTAATCTGTGTGTTCTCTTCGAGAAGCTAATGTTCAATATGGTAACTCTTGCTAACTGCTAACTCGCGAAATCCACCCATTCTTGGATAACAAATTATCAAAAGTAAGCTTCATGCACAGATCTTTAAAAAAATAATTTGATGTATGTTTCGCACCTTTTGGAAATTCACTACTTTTTGTTTTCCGTTATATTTCGGTCGTCTTCAGGGCACTAGCACCAAGATCCAAAAATTAATTAACATTAACATAAATTGAATTTAAAAATTCAATAAACATTCACAAAAAAAAATTTTTACACGTCTGCGCTTTTTGATGAGGCTTTAATCTATTTGGCTATTCAATAAGTGTCTATATATGTGAGCATAATTTTCTGTGTCTTTTTTCGTTTGTTGCTTAGTGTGTTTATTATGTGTAGCGTTTCTAATGAAATTCTTCTGCTGTAGTGTTGTTCTAGAAGTAGTATTGCTGTTGCATCAAAGTTAGGTGTTTGGTGTCTCTTCACAGAGTAAGTCCTTAGTGATTTTTTTATACCCTAAGCCCATTGAAAATAAGGAACAAGTAAGAGGTTCTATTCGGGAGCTCCCGACTAGGGGATACCCTGAACCCTCTTCTTCCAACATCAAATGCATATATATGTTCTATTTTAGAAGCTATATGTCAAGTTTGGTGACTCTGGCTCTTATTATTTACCAAAATTGACCAAAAAACAGGATATCGATATTGATTTTTATCGATTGCTTGGAAACGGAGTAAGTTATCGATTATTGGAAACAAACTCGATCTGCGCGGGAACTAGGAGCATCTACATCTAAAATTTCAAGTCTCTAGCTCTTATAGGTTCAGAGATCCTTGCGTTCATACATACGGACGGATGGACGGACGGACAGACAGACGGACATGGCTAAAACGACTTGGCTATTTATGCTGATCACGAATATATATACTTTATGGGGTCGGAGCTGCTTCCCATTTTTAATGGGTTCAGGGTATAAAAATGGTATTATGTTTTTGTGCATAATGTATGTAACAGGCAGAAGGACGCATCTTCGACCCCATCTTCAGCGCAGATCGAGTTTGTTTTCGATAATCGACAACTTACTCCGTTTCCAAGCGATCGATTAAAATCGATATACACTTGTTGGTCGGCTGGTAGTTGGCACGAAGAGGAAGAGACAGTGTCAAATATCCTTTGCACCTGCCAAGCGCTATGCAAAACTAGATTAGACGCAATTGTTTTGGGATCTGTCAGATCTTTCTAAGCAACGACCCAAACACATTTTACACTTCATCTTTGGGTATAGCTGAATGCTTATCCTATCATTGTTTGGATTCTGAGATAGGGCCCGTCTACTGTGACATTACAATGGGCCAATGCTGGTCTAAGTGAGGCATGTTGCACTCGCCTACCACACTACCCTAAACCAAAGTATAGGCTCCGAAGTTTTATTAAAATGCGTTTCCCAAAGTAAGGGGCTAATAGAAAAAGCAGTTCTGTAGCGGCATAAGTTGCGCAGCTCGCGACGCGTATGAGTATGCTTTGGTATATACATATATTTATCAAAGAGAGATCAAATGACTATTTCGGCAATTTATAAAGGTATTTGTTATAATGCGCGGAAATAAAAAGCGCAGCCATTGCTGATTGTGTAGTATATGCGTGATTAGGTGTATGTATTGCTCAGATCAGCGCTTGGTCGAGGTTATCTCCTTGGCGTGAACTCCCAAAAATAATACTTTTATTTGTTTCAATTGTTTGAATTCCAAGGTGGTTAAATTTAAAAGCAAACAGATCGATCAGTTTACCTTCTTTTTTGGATCGCTCTCCGCGGTCCTAGTACTCCAACTATATTATTTTTAAGCTCAGACATTCTATTTATAACCTATCTTGGTTGGTAACACTGAACCAGCGAATCAATATCTTCTTCTCGTATGAGGCCTACAATACACAACTTGTAACATTTTTAAGCAAACTATAACTACATTTTTAAGATTTCTGACGATTTTAAATATTTTTTTACATGTTTTAAATGTCCTAAAACATTCGCACTAGCGATTGCCAAGGAGAATATGTAAGTCAGTAAGTGTGTCCGTTGTTATTTATTTTAAAGCAAATTGACGACGAATTAATTTTTTATTTTTCAGCTCGAGTATCTTTCACTCTTAGCTATCAATTTTAATTTTATCTTGGTCTTGCGAGCCCGTAAATTGCGCTGCCATCAACGCTGCGCAAGTAAACGAATTTATCACTTTGTAATTATTACGTTCAATCATTAGCGCTTTCATCATCAATTAGAGGGAAACCGTGGGATATCAGCGTTGACGAGCTAAATAAAAATCAATTGATTTCAATTAAATCGAGCATAAGCGGTAACAAAAAATGCAACAGTTGACGGAGATAGCGATTACGATATCAAATATCATGCAAAATCCGAAAAACAATGCATTGTATGGTTAGTGCTATTAATCTTCTAAAACCATGTCTCAATATCGATTTTATCGCTAATATGAAAATGAGAGGAAATATAGAAAAATAATCAAGAGTGCTAAAGTCAAACACCGGGACAAACAATCAATGATTGAACCGTTTTAATCCATTTTTAATGGCCTCGGGGTATAATTAAGAAATTGATTATATCAGTTAATGTTTCGCCCAAATACGCATTGAGTAGTTGATTTAAGTTGAAAATCTAGACCTAATAATGTTCGTCAACACATTCATGCTTCTCGTCACACACTATCTAAAAACTATATAGAAACAGCTCATTCCCTGCCATTGACCAAAACTAAACAAGTAAGAGGTTCTAGTCGGGAGCTTCCGACTAGGGAATACCCGGAACCCTCTTATTCCAACATCAAATAAATTTTAAAAAAAATTCCCTTGGCAGGGTTCGAACTCGCAACTGAACGTATTACTTGCTGTCAACTCTACTCAACAGCCACATCAGCAAAAAAAACAAGTAAGAGGTTCTAGTCGGGAGCTCCCGACTAGGGGATACCCTAAACCCTCTTATTCCAACACCAAATAAATTTAAAAAAAAAGTTCCCTTGGCAGGGCTCGAATTTGCAACTGGCCGCATTACTTACTGTCGACTCTACTCAACAGCCACACCAGCAAAAAAAAAAAAAATAATAATAATATGAACTCGCGACAGACCGCACCACTTGCTATGCCTCTTCTCAGCAGCCACACCAACAATTAAGTACTTATGATAAAAAAAAGGAACTTAAATAACATTACAAAAAAAAGATGCAATTACCATGCGATTAGAATGCGAAGCAGACGCGCATGAATGTGTGTGTGTACATGTATACAGAAATTCTTAAAGCTGCTGCCCCATTCAATTGCGCAGATGCATATAACTTTGGTTTTTTCTTAACCGATCTTTATGAAATTTTCTACAGTATATCTTATTGTACCATAGAATATTTGTGTATTCTGAAAAGGTCACGCATTTAAATTATGGCTTAAATTGGTTGGCAATAAAAGTTGGGTTATTAACTTGATTTATAGCGTGGTGGTAGCGGGGAGGTGGCGATAAGTATAAAATGAGAGATACTTGACATTTATATAATATTCTACAAGCAACATATCATGTTTGGTGACTCTAGCTCTTATTATTTACCCAATTCGCTCAACAAACAGAATGTCGATATCGATTTTTATCGACTGCTTGGAAACGAAGTAAGTTATCGATTATCGGAAACAAACTCGATCTGCGCAGGCACTAGGAGCACCTACATCTACAATTTCAAGTCTCTAGCTCTTATAGGTTCTGAGATCCTTGCGTTCATACATACATACGGACGGACGGACGGACAGACAGACGGACATGGCTAGATTGACTCGGCTATTGATGCTGTTCAAGAATATTTATACTTTATGGGGTCGGAGATGCTTCCTTCTGCCTGTTACATACATTTGGATTTTGCACAAATACAATATACCCTTATACCCATTTTTAATGTGTTCAGGGTATAATAAGAAAATAAATTGTTCCCTCTTAAGTTTGAACTCGTTTCATCAACCGAACGAACTGCTTGCCATCCTCTATAAGGCAAGGTAAGGTATACCTTACCAATAAGTCAGACGAATATTTGGAATTTAAGGGAATAAAAGGTTATTCAAATAGATAGATATCTAAGATATAATACAGATTTTATACGTTCTGATATCGGCGCTTTCATAACATACGTGCGGACGAATATGGCTAAGCCGACTCGGTTATTGATGCTGCGAAATAATATATATACTTAATGGTTAAACATTCTTCTGATTACGTGTTACATAAATATGAATTAATTTATTATACACTCTTTAAATATTTTTAGTAGGTTAATATTAGCCAATGTTTAATTTATAAGAGAAGGTCTTCTATTATAGTATCAAATGGATCTTAAGCAAAGAACTGAAAGGAAATTATTGAGCATTTGCTTCGGGAGCACTTTTCATGAGATCAGACGTAAAGAGGTCCTTGTACCCTCGAAGAGATCTGGCATAAGTTTATCGGGCTTAATCTTTGATCCCGAAAAGGTCTGGTAGGTCTTTGGACAATTTACTCCTTCGAAAAACACTAATTGCGACTGTTTTGTTATATCATGTCTTAATGCTACGCAA